ACACGGGTCAATGATTCTCAGCAGAATAAACGCTGACCCTCTGCATCTGTCTACAGCACGTGGCTCTCCTGTCTCACCCTTACCCAGAACCAGCTCTGCACATACTCTTTGTATTGCCCTGTTTGTACATATGTTTTGGGAATTAGCAAAATCGGAGGGTCCAGGACCAAACAGGAGACCAGTGTCACAGTGCTCCTTGTGTTCAGCCACCCAGAGACTTTCTCGTACCTTCCCCAGGCTCCTTCCCTCTTGAAGCCTATGGTTTACTGGGAAAAACAGGCAATAAATAAGTGAACAAATAATTATAGGAAACTGGATGCAGGGACTGGAATACCAGAGAAGGGCAAGATCTCTCTGAGGAGTTGCCTTTTAAGATGAGACCTAGGAGATGAGAGGGAGCCAGCACGGGAACGAGCTAGGCATAGAGAGCCATCCTGCTGGAACGTCAGGGCTGAAAGGAGGCCCTGGGGCTTGGGGAGGCCGCCAAGGGGCAGCAGGCAGGGCCAGGCTCCCAGGAGCAGGGCAAGTCTGTGTTTCACACCAACACAACGGAACCCACCAGATGGTTCCAGGCAGGAGGATGGCATGATGTGACTTATGTGTTTAAAAGATGGCTCTGGCTACAGTGTGGGGGGAAACTAGAAACAGGGGGAAGGGGCTCCCCAGGGAGTAGGGGAGGAAAAAAGAGAATGAATTTGAGTTCTTGGGGGATGTAGAAACAACAAGATGAGCTGATAATGTGAAGCTGTGGAGGAGGCATGGGGGATTCCTGGCTTTAGACGTCTGGCTTTAGCACCTGGGTGCCCCATTAGGGGAAGGAGAGATGGAGCAATCAATAGTTCCATTTTGGACATGTTCCATCAGAGACAGCCATGGGACATGCAAGGGGAGATGTCAGGTGGACAGGTGGATATATGAGTCTGAGCTCGGGCTGGGCATCTGGGCTGGAGATATAAATTTAGGGGTTGTCAGTCATGGGAAGGGATATTATTGGCTAGTGAGAGGGGAGAGAGAGAAGAGGGGGAGGCCCAGGACCAGGTCTGGGGATCCCCACGTTAAGAGGGTGGGGGGATGAGGAACCTGCAATGGAGGAAAGGAGAGGACGCCAGAGGAGGTGAAAACCAGAAGAGGTGGCACCTGAATCCCAGAGAGGAGAGGCGTTGCAAGGGGGAGGTGGGACACAGGCAGAGGGAGCAGCCACCGTCCCAGGCACTGCTGAGAGACCAAAGGCAAGAGGACCCTATGGGCCTCCCTGCCGTGGCCCCGTGAGAGACGGCCATGACAGGAGCAGGAACAGAAGTTGAGGGTGGAAGGTGGACTGGGGCGGGCAGCGGCAGGTGAAGGTGGAGAGAGCAGTGAAGACAATTCTTTGGGGGAGTTTGGTTGTAAAGGGGAATAAAGGAGTCTCCCGTGGAGGCTGAACCCCAGGGGCAGGACAGAAGCACACAGTGTTTGGAAACTCGCAAAACAATCTCTGGAGAGCAGAGGAGGTGCCTCGGGTCTGTTGTGGCTTTTCTTTTTTTTTTAATGATGATGAGCAGGTATAGTTGTGTAACTCTTCACAGTTTACCAAGTGTTGTCACACACAGCTCGCGCTTAATCCTCACAGCCATCCTGTGAGGTAAGCAGCAGCCTGGAGATACAGATGCACGGAAGCTCAGGATTGAGTGACAAGCTCAAGGTCAGAGCTAGGAGCTGGCAGGGCCGGGGCCCTTCCCGGGCTGCTGTTGGCCTGACCCCAGCTGGCTCATCCTTGGCTATTAGAGGCCATAGCTGCTTATCAAGAGCATGGGACCTTGTCCCACTTCCTGGCCCATTTAACTGTGCTTCAAAGCCCCCTGGATTTCTCCAGTGCCCAACAATCTCCGGCAGGTGACAGAGAGAGGACATGTGTGACCGCAGGTAGCTCACATCCAGCTCCTCAGGGTGGAGACTGGTGCCACAGAGTGACTGTGGGCAAGTCACCTCACCTCTGTGCCTCAGTCCCCACGTCCTGGGATCACCACCAGGATGAAGCGAGAGCGTGATTCTGAAGTGCTGAGCACGGAGCTGGGCACATAGGGACCGATGTGCCAGGGCCCCCAGAATGATGCTGATCCACTCACTCACTCCCTGCTCATGCTCACATCCAATGTTTGTGGAGCACCTTCTCCCGCAGCACGTGGCACCAGGTTCAGCACAGGTAGGGTGCAGTCACCCCGCCCGCTACCCGGCTCAAGAAGCATGTGTTTAATGAGGGAAGGGACACCAAATACAAACACCTCTGCCCTCACAGGAAAAAGCAAGGTGCAGAATCCTGTGGCTCTTCAGCGGAGAGGTCACAGCCAGCCAGGGCAGTCGGGACAGGCATGGTGGGGGGCCAGAGGGTGGGAGGATTCCCCTCAGCAGGGGCAGCTTCAGCTGAGCAAAGACACAGGCGCTGCTGGAAAGGGCAGAGCGTCTTCAGGGCAGGGCGAGGAAGCAGACCGAGTGTCAGCTCCCTGGAGAAAGAGGGAGGGAACGGGCTGGTTTCCCTGGGAGAGGATCGTGAGAGGCTCTGGGCAGCAGGCCAGCCGGCCAGCCAAGGGCAGCCCGGTGGAGGGAAGGTCTGGCAACCCCGGGCACTGCCCCCTGGATGTACATAGTGCTTGTTAAGAACCCCACTCAGGTGGGCTCCATATCTGGGAGTACCTAGGGGTACAGGTGGGGGGAAGAGGGCCAGAGCATCAGACTGTCCAGGTCACCGTGGAGGCCTGGGAACACCTCATTGTGCAGGCCCAACGTAGATCATAGAATAATAAAATGCATCAACGTAGAAACGCTGTGGCCGAAACAGAATAGAAGGCCCAGAGGCACACCCCCACCGCTGCACATGCCCATCCACTTTGTGACCCTCTCCCGAGCCCAACTCTCTCATTTCACGGAGGAGGAACCCAGCTCTTAGAGAGGGGAACTGACCAGCCCAAAGTCTGCAGCCTCACCTCTGGCAGAGAGCCAGGATCCCTAAAAAGCAAAGGAGATCAAAGATGAGAAAGTGCTTTGTATACTGTAAAGTGCTGTCGAAATGTGGGATTATCATCACTTCCGCCATTTGCACGAAGTCCTCAGGTCATTTCTCAGAGTGGCCTCTTTGGGGGAAGCTGGTGGGAAAGAGCATGCCTAGGATTAGGGATGTTGGTTGGCATCACAGACCGCGGTGGGTGGGGGGAGAACATGGGATTTGGAGACGTCCTGGGAGGCCCGGTGCTGCCACTTGGAGTCTGTGCACCCTGGGACGGCATTCTGCCTGTCTTTCTTTCTCTCTGGGGTTGTGTGGGGCTCAAGCAGGACAAGCATGTAAGCTTTGAGGAAGGCCCAAGCGCTCTTGAGTGCAGGCACCTTCCCGGGTGCAGTAGTGACGGGGGAGCAGAGGCCCCGAGGCCCGCAGGGTCAGTGTTTAGCACTCTGAAGGCACTTCCTGTCCCCAGGGGCTGGAGCCAGCTGCTGACCGTGCTGGAACCCAAGCATCTGTCTCTCTGCCTCGACAGATTCCAAAGGTGGCGTGCGCCCTTGATGTGCAGCCCTCAGACGCACTTTGTCAAGGTACTGAGGCGCGACCTTCCATCACCAGGCGCTGACTCAGCCCCCCAGGATCCCCGTCTCTCCCTTCACACACTGTGGGTGCCAGAAGGCGCCCAGCCAGCCGCTCAGCACCCCCCAAACTCTGCAGGCTTCGGCATCGTGGTGACAAGAGAGAGGGTCAGTCTGGATCTGTTTCAGGAAGAGAGAAGCGATTTCCCCCAAAGATCTGGAGGGTGTCTGCCCTCCCCAGGGTTCTCAGCCGGCGGCTGGATCTATCTCAGGAGGGGCTGGTCTTCCAGGAGGTGGGAGGGAGTTCTCCTGCTGGGCCTTCACCATCTCCAATGTCAAGGCCATGGGAAGAAATCCACCGTGGACATGTCAACCCTAGACCCCAGACACAGGCTCTGAGGCTCCACTCATTCACCCCACAAATATTTATTGAGCACCTATTGTGTGCCCGGTATTTGAGAACAAAAGGAACAGAGCTCTGTCCTCTGGGAGCTGACGTTCCAGCAAAGAGTCAGAGAGGGAAGAGATGAGCAAGCAGATGGAGAACAGGTGGCAGCAACGGAGGGGAAGAGATCAGGGCAAGGGAAAAAGAGCCCAGGGCAGTGGTGGTTGTGGACTTTGAGACTGTGGTCAGGGAAGGCCTCACTGAGAAGAAGCAGTTGAGCAAGGACCCGGAGGTGGTAATGGAGGGAGCCAGCTGTGTGGATATCTGGAGAAACAGCATCCCAGACAGAGGGAACAGCATTACAAAGCCCCTGAGGCAGGACAGGCCAGTTTCATCCTTTGTCTTGAGTCCCTTAGGAAAAGAGATGGGACAGGTCTGCCTGGTAACCTTAGAGGTGCTCGTGTTCTCCCGTGGGAGATGTTAAGTTCACATGACTATTTAAATGGTGGGACTTTCGTCAGGAGAGAGTTATTCCATCCTCAGAGTCACAGTCTTCTGTTCCTCCAGGGCTCATTCATGCCAGGTCTCTTGGAAGAGCAGAAAGGGCCTGGGCTCAAGTTCTAGCACCTGACACTCTGTGTTACCTTGGGAAAGGCACTCAACCTCTCTGAGCTTCAGTTTCCCTGATGAACCTCATCAGTTGCCTGGGTAAACAATACAACCCCCACCCCATGCCACTCTCTTTCGACTGTTGTGAGATTTAAACTAATGAGGTCATTAATGTGAACAGTGCCGTTTACATTGAAATGGTCTACATAAATGCAAGGGAATTTTTGTTTTCTTCAGTCGAACTTCTGGTAACAGGGTTGTCACTGCCCACTCCCCTCCTTCACCCCACTCCTTATCCTGTGACCTACCTGGGTCTAGTTGACTCTCATCTTGACTGGGTCCTATTTGATCCTAGGACACTCATCAAAGCTGGGCTCCCTGGGAATCCCCTGGGGCTGAATTGCTTCCCAGGCCACCCAGCAGTTCTTCCCCAATGTCCCCTCCCACCCTCCTCCAGGTACAATGGCCCCAACCTGGTTCTGAAGTATGACCGGGCCCAGAAGCGGCTGGTGAACATCGCGGTAGATGAGCGCAGCTCACCCTACTATGCGCTGCGGGACCGTCAGGGAAACGCCATTGGGGTCACAGCCTGCGACATCGACGGGGATGGCCGTGAGGAGATCTACTTCCTCAACACCAATAATGCCTTCTCAGGTAAGCATGGGCCTCCGGCCTCTCCTCCCAACACCGATGGCAGGGGGGCCCTGGGGACCCTGGCCCACCCTTAGGCGACCGTCACTGGCTCTAGGTACAGTGCCCACTGCCTCTAGGACCTCTGCGTCCAGCAGAGACCCCCAGTTGACCTCGTCTTCTCTCGTAATGAAGTTTGGATCATTGTCTCCTGGACCCTGGACTGAGGTGGAGTGGCGTGAACAGGCTGTGTGTCCTCGTCACCTCCCCATCTGAGCAACCCCCATCTACCTCTACTCCTCCCACTATTCCCATGGCTACTCCCATGGATGGCTTCTGCAGCCAGAAAATGGTCCCTGGAGTCGCCCTCCATGACTCTTCTGGGGCCTTTCTCCGCTGCTTTTAAGTCCCCCCAGGACCCCCCCAGCTTTTAGCTCATGCGTCTTCCAGAGATTCTTGCCCCTCACCCCCTGGGTGCCAGACAGAGGTGCCGGCTGATGGGGTGCTGGGGATACAACTCTGAGGAAGGCAGACCGTGAGTCTGTGGATCTTTTGCCAAAGCTTCTCAAACTGCAGTGTGTGTCGGAGTCACCCCGAGGTCTGGTGGGCTCTGGCTCTGCAGGCCGGGGGCACCTAGAGCCTGCGTTCTGATACTTCTGGGCCTTAACAGTGCTGCTGGTCCAGGGACCACACTCTGAGTAGCAAGGATCTACACTGAGGAACGCAGGAGGGAAATCAATGCCCAGGAGGCTGAACAACAGGCCAATGAATGCCAGTGCTTAAGGAGCACCTACTGGGTGCCAGGCCCCCATCTGCACACTTGACTGCTCTTATGTGAGCCCCACAACAGCTCAGCCAGGAAGGTGCCAGTCGTCCTACTGGAGAGTTGAGGAAAGGGGTGACCCACCTTGCCCACAGCTTTACAGCCTGCAAGTCCTAGGATTCAAACCAGGATCAGGCAAGACTATGGCTCCACTCAATCCTCTGTCCTCTGTCCCAGTCAAGATGAGTGGCCAGAAGCGAGCCTGACCCGCAGTGGGCGTTTCATGCTTCTCAGATTAGGGGCTGTGTTTTGGGGACTGAGGATGGAGGTAGATCGCCGTCCCCAACTCTAGCATTTTCTCAGGTCCGCCCCTGTCCCACTAGAATACAGTCCACTCCTGTGGGGCCATACCATCTGTGGGGAAGCCCTGGCCATGGCGTCCCCCTGGGAGAGGCAGATTGGATGTGCTCTGGGCTCCTCCAGATGGCAGCAAGCACTTGGGTTGGCTCTGCTTGGGACCTTATGGCTCAGATCTGTGCAAGCACCGTCCCAGGCCCCCCACAACCTCCTGGAGACTCTCACTGCCCGGCAGTGGGCACCCCCCCCCTTCGTGTCCCCCACTCCTGTTCTTCCCCTGAGCCACAATGCTGCCCCTGCTGACTGCCAAGCCCAAGCCAGGATCCAGCCCCTGGTCGGCCGATGTGGAGCTCCGGGTTGCATGAATGGGAGGGGAAGAGGTTGGGGCCTGTGCCAGGGGCAGGGTGGGCGGAGCTGGCTGGCGGGCAGCCAGACTTGTGCAGCCAAGAAACAATGAGCCACAGCCCCGAGTGGTGTTTTATGGGTTTTCATCTCACATTGCCACCAAGTGATGCCTGAGAGACAGTAATTATCCCTACACAAATATCAGGGCATGATTACCCAGCTGGATTTACTGCCCTCTCTCCAACCAAGCCAAGATTGGATTAGGACACAATTAATTGATGGGCTGATCAACTCTTTAATGTGGGGCAAGGTCAGGAAGGGAGAGGCATCTATGGAAGGGGCAAGTCCCCAGGAAGGTTCTGGAAGGCCTGAAAGGAGGAACAGGGACAACCATGGAAGGCTGTCCTAGGTAGCCTCGGCAGGCAGGATGACAGAGGAAGGGACAGACTCACCCCTACTCAGCCAACACGGAGCCCAGGGTGTCTGTGCAGCAGCGACCCCTCCCACTCTTAGAGGTCTCCGCTGTGAATTCCAGAGCAGGGTTTCCCAGCCCGGCTGCCAATTAGCATCTCCTGGGAGCTTTCGATGAACCCTGCTGAGCTGCACCCCAGGCAACCCACCCCCAAGGCTGGAGATGGACCCAGTTATCAGGTTATAATGTCCCCAGCCAGTTCCCGCTTGTGGCCTAAGATGAGGGCCACTGCCTCAGACTCTGTCATTTTCATGCTCAGCCCAGCAAGGGCCCCATCCACCCATGAATGTTTTCACTTCATTGAGCACCTACTGTGTGTCTAGGACACGTCAGTGCATGAACCACAAAGATCCCGTCCTGAAGTTCATGATCTCTCCCAGCCCCTAGGACTCTAAGCTCCTTGAGGAGGAAGTTCCTGTATTGGTCATCTCGTGATCCCTGGTGGCCAGAGCCAGACCTTGACCATCCTGAATTCTCAATTAAAATTGGATAAATAAGTCCCAGCAAGAGCAGGCGGGCTGAGCCGTTGGCCTAAGAGGAGGTTTTTGGGTAGAGGGACAGCAAGGGTAGGCAGGCCAGGTGGGGGCCCGGAAGGCGGGCTTCCTGGGATGGTGGCATAAGCCTTCAGAGGCCTGGGTCAAGGGTGACAGTGCCCAGCAGCCTCAGCCCCAGGCACACACCTCCTGGTGACCTTCTGTGGGTTTGAGGGAGGCCCGTGGGCTTGAGTTAATTTTTCAGTTGAGTGATTCCATTGATTCATCGACGGGGTGTGGGGTGGAGCCCGGGCGTTTGTGCCCGGTCAGCACTTCTTGGGTCCAGCTGGCACAGCACCCAGCCATGGCCACCTGGCCCACTGTGGGGGATCCCGAAAGCCACTCTGGGACCCCAGCCAGCCCAATCCCATCATGGCCTTCAGGATGTTAGAGGAACCCACAGAAAGAGTCCCTCTCCCTTCCCTCAACTGGCATTTGGGATGTCTGCGTTGGAGTCCCTGGAAGAGGCTGAGACCCTGCAGCGTCCTGTGGGAATCTGTTCATCAAACCTTGCACCTACACCTTCTTTACTGGGTGGCCTTGGGTGAGATGTGTGACCTCTCTCAGCCTCAACTCTTCATCCATAGGAAAGAAAAAAATCATAGCAACTTCATAAACTCAGCTCCCTCCAAGGGCTCCGTAGACTGTATTCAAGGTCATAAGCATCCCCTCCAGCACCCCTCCTGGTGGCGCCTGGGGTTGCCTTTCGGATCCTCCCTCCAATCTTCTCTTCCTCACTATGTTTCCTCCTGAAGCAGGAATACTTGCTGTTCCTCCTGCCTGAAATGCTTTTCCTGCTGATTTCCTCAAGGTTCAATCCTCAAATAAACCTCCCTGAACACTTTATCTAAAATCTCAACTGGTCACTCCCTGCGCCCTCCAGTGGCTTAGATTTCCGTCTCGGTTTTGAGCCCTGACTGAAGGTGCTCTATTCTTGTTTGGGGTCCATCTCTCCTACTAGTATTCACTCCCGGGGGCGGGAGCCGGCAGAAACTTTGTCTTGTTCACTGTTGTCCTTCAGGACCCAAAGAAGTGCCTGTCACTTAGTAAACACTAAATACATATTTTTGAACGAACAACTGGGATAATGAATGGAAATGGCTTCGTGTGACACCTAGGACTTCATGAGCACTAACAGTAGCTGTTATAATTCTGTGGCTATGGGAAAGACAGAGCGTCTAAAAGTGTCCTTGGAGAATACAGGCCTTCCTCCTGGCCCATGGGATAGAGCCTAGGAACAGAAAGGGGGAGGGCCCTGGTGTGAAGAAGGCACCACCCAGGTGGGTGCCACTTGGGTTCGGATCTCGGGTTAAGAGTTAGAAAGTAGGTAGAGAAGGGGGGAGGGGAGGAAGGACCACAGCCCCACGGCGGAAACTCTCTTATCCCTTAATTGGCCTAGAAAAATATAAGCCAGGGCTTTCAGGCAGTGCTCTTCTGTGCCACCCAAGTGGGAGGGTAAGCAGGGCCACGGGTGACCAGAAGCAGATGCCAGCACCTCCCTCCACATGCAGGAACCCAGGCATCCCACAGCTCCTGGACAGAGCCATCCCCCTGAAGGTCCTGCTCTGGCCCACCCCAGCCACCTTGCTCCGTGGCCCTGAGAATCCTGCACATGTGACTCGCCTGGGGTAGCAGGAGTGCGGGTAGTAACTCAGTGTGAAGCCCACCACTCAGTTTATTTTTACTTATTCAACTCAACAAAATGGGCATTAGAAAAGGTACTGTTAAAAAATAATTCATATGCTGCCTCCCTCCTCTCTCTACAAACAGTGGCAGGCCCTGCTCACACTCCAGCCCTTTGCATTTTCAATATATTTTGGGTATTATTTCATGGCAATCAATATACAGAAGGCTTTCTCATTCTTTTTATGGCTGTATAGTACTCCATTGTATAGATTTGCCATTAATTTAATTGGTTTTCTCTGGGTGAGCATTTAGATTGCTTGCAGTCACTTTGTCCTTACAAAGAATGCCACCAAATGAATAAGCCTGCACAATATGCCATTTCCCACATTTGCAGGTTTATTTGTAAAATAAATTCACAGAAACAGTGGCTGCGTCAAAGGAATACCCACATGTAGTTTTGATAAATGTGGCAAATTGCTCTCCCTAGAGACGGTACTCATTACACTCCCATCAGCCATGTCCCTGAGCGAGCGCTTTCCAACACTCACTAACACAAATGTTTTATCAATTTTTTTTTTATTTGCCAATCTGATAGGAAAAAATTGATTTCCAAGTGTAGTTTTAATTTTCATTTTTCTTAAATGAGTGAGGCTGAGAATATTTGTATATATTTGAAATTCCTGTCTGCTCATAGCCTTTGCCCATTTTTTTTTCTATTGATTATTGGCTTTTTATTATTGATTTGGAACACCTCTTTATAAATTAGGGAAATTAGCCCTTCGTCTGGAATATAAGTTGCAGATAATTCTCCCTGTTTGTCATTTTTCTTTTGTCTTTGCTCATGGGTGGGTTTTGTAATGTAGAAAACTTTCATTTTTATGGACCTGAATTTATGACTCTTTTCTTTTATGGTTGCTGGGCTGGGTGT